ACAATAGCTCCCCATCTGCCATGGAGGAAGTAAAGAGGAAGGAGTCAAATAACAACTCCATCTGGTTGTCTCCGAAAATCCCAGCTGCCTAGGGCATAAAGGGTCTAATTGATCAGGTTGTTTCCTTTCCCTTTCTTTCTTTCATTTTTATTATTTATTTATTTATGTTTAAGTCACTTCTTCGTCAAGACCCTGAACAATCGGTCTGAGTCTGTTCGTGTTCCAAGAACCATGCCATTGGGCTACACTAGCACGTGACAGGGACAAATGGAGACGTTACTGGTGCCCGCTTGAGCAAATCAGTGAGTAATGAGATGTCCAGTGATCAAGTGACTGTATCACTGTCTCACTGTCATCCCGTTGTTCGTCAGTTTAACCAAGTGGGCGCCAATAACGTCTCTATTCTATTCATCCCAGCCCTGAGATTTTAGCAGCCTCTCCTTACTCATTTTTCCCAACAATTGGAGTCTCTTTCAGGGTCAGGAGAATCAGACCTGTTATAGTTACTGGTTTTGGCATATCGAATACGCCACGGGGAGTTTTCCAGGCTCTGCCTACATAGGCAGGATACTCTCAGTAGCTTGCCAGGCTCTCTGAGAGCCTGTATATATGTATATATGATAGCACAGCGGGTAGGGCGTTTGCCTTGCAAGCGGCCAACATGACCGACCCGAGTTTGATTCCTCCGCCCCTCTCGGAGAGCCCGGCAAGCTACCGAGAGTATCTCGCCCGCACGGCAGAGCCTGACAAGCTCCCCGTGACGTATTCGATATGCCAGACACAGTAACAACAAAGTCTCCAATGGAGACGTTACTGGGCCCGCTCGAGCAAATTGATGATCAACGGGAGGGCCTTTACCTTTATATGTATGTATGTATGCATGTATGTATATATGTGTATATATATACATATATATATGCACATATATCACTGTCACTGTCCTCCTGTTGTTCATCGATTTTCTCGAGCGGGCCCAGTAACATTGTGAGACTTGTTACTGTGTTTGGCATATCGAATAAGTCACAGGTAGCTTGCCAGGCTTTGCCTTGCGGGCGAGATACTCTCGGCAGCTTGCCGGGCTCTCCGGGAGGGGCAGAGGAATCGAAGTCGGGTCAGCCATGTTGGACGCATGCAAGGCAAACACCCTACTTGCTGTGCTATTGTTCTAGCCATATATATATATATATATATATATATATATATTTCTCTCTATGATTTGTTGCCTACCACCTGAACTTCATCAAACATGGTGTGGTAATCATGAAAAATGGGTAGGAAGTGTCTTAACATGTGTTGGGTAGTGGAGGTCAGCTGTCAGGGCTGGGTCCCTTGGGGCAGGGAGGGCTCTCTGGGGCGCTCCGAGTGAAAACAGCCTGGTGTGGAGGCCGGTGGCATCATTTTATACTCCCGTCTGAGAAGAGCAGCTGTAAGTTCGGGAGGGTGGTCGATGAGGAGATTATCTGGTGCTGGCAGGGGGTGGCTTATAGGTGTGATCCCTGGGTCACCGGAGACTGGAGAAGCAGGCAGAGGATCTCTGCTCCTGGGTCCCACCGAGTCCAGAGTTCAAGGGCTCAAAGTTCTGCATTACCTGGGTTCTGTGAGACTCCACTCCTGCGTGAGGCTCAGCCCGAGCATCCAGAAAGCGGCCTGGAGCTTGGCGGCAGTTGGGTAGTGGAGGTCAGCAGCTGGAACTGGGTCCCTTGGGGCGGGGAGGGCACTTACCCGCCCCCCCCCCAGGGGTGCTCTGAGTGAAAATGGCCTGGCTCAGAGTCCCAATTTAATATCAATTTAATATTGGTATTAAATATTAATATTTAATACTAGGGTGACGTACATTCACCAGAATGACAAACTCTTGGAAGAACCTGTTCTGGGTCCTTCTCTCTACTCTCACCATCATCAGGGCTCCTTGGGAGCCTGAGCTGAACCCATTCTACTCAGGTAGCACTATGGGTGGGTTCCTACTCAGAGACAGGGAACATTAGTTTGGTCCTTGGAGACCAAAAGCCCTATCTCCAGGCTGACCATAAGAACAAAGTCAATCAGTCTCCATGTGCTCAAGGCCTGCAAGACCTTTTCAAAAACTCCAGCGAAGTATAGGTGCAGTGACCTCATCTTTGATTTCCAATCTGTCTATACTTCAGTCTACTTCTACTGAAATAGAAGGACCCCTCTTTTTGGGTAGAGGCACATCTTCCACTGCTTCACTGCCTTAATAGTTGCCCCTTGCTGCATAACCAAATAACCTCCCGTTCCTTCAACCCTTTCCTACCAGGTCTTTTGAATGACCATCTGGGAATCTCTGTGTGGGACGCCTCTAAAGTAGCTGGGACAGGGGCAGAAAGAGAATAACTAGTGGGCTATTTCGCCTGACCTTGGAGGGTACCTGTTCATGTGCAGGTACAGCTCACACGAAGGCACCGCCAGCAGCCTTGCTCTGAACCAGCCCTAACTGTCACCTCTTTGTGCCTTAGTTTCCTCATCTGGGAAATCAAAGTTATTTTCCTGCTTCAAAAGATCATTTGGTGATTGAGTGACGACAAGAGCTTAGGATAGGGGCTAGAGGGATGATACAGCGCACTAAGGCTCCCCGCCAGCCTGGCACCGCATTACGGTCCCCTCAGGGTGACCCCTGGGCACAAAGCCAGAGTAAGCCCTAAGCACTTATTAAGCACTTAAGACAAAACAGAAGTTAGAGTCAGGTCCTGGGCGGAGTCATTCACAGTACCCGCAATTTTTTTTTTTTTTTGGCATTTTTGGGTCACACCTGGCGATGCACAGGAGTTATTCCTAGCTCTGCACTCAGGAGTTACTCCTGGCGGTGCTCAGGGGACATTATGGGATGCTGGGAATAGAACCCGAGTTGGCCGCGTGCAAGGCAAACGGCTGCGCTATTTCTCCAGTCCTGAGTACCCGCTATTACTGTACCCATCGCCACGAGGGCGGGACCTTGACGCGAGCCCGCGAATCCGGGCGCTCGACCGGGAGCTGGGGGCGGGGCTCCGCGCAGCCGCGAAGGCGCCCCGCGGCGCGGCGTCGGCGGGTTTCGGCGCCGGGATTGGTAGGATGGCTGCGCGCTGGGCGGTACACGTTGTGATGGATGGAGCCATCTCGCTCAGCGATTGGTGAGTTGGGAGGGGCAGTCTGTGCGCGGATTGGCGGGCTGTTGCTGTGGGCGGGCCCGGCGCGCGGTCTGACGGGATGCGAGCCCGCGGATTGGCGGTAGGGCGGGCACGGCGCGCGCGCCTAGGTGAGCTGGTGCGGGACCACCTAGGTGAGCGCTCGGCGGGGTCGCGTGGGGCGGTGGGCGAGGCCGGGTGGCGGTGCGTGGGGAGCAGCCGCGCTTCTGGACGTCCGAGCCGGCCGCGGCTAAGCCCTGCCCGGTGGCCGAGAGCGAGGAGAGGTCGCAGGTGCCGCGCAAAAGTAGGAGCTCGGCGTCCTGTGCGATCTGACTCGGTGCAGCCGCTCTGCAAGGTCCAGCCAGGGCCGCGCGTACGCGCCGGCCCCCCGCCGCCGACCCCGGGCCCAGCGGTGGAGTAGGTGGGCCCGTTGCACTCTGCCCAGGCCTCCCGTGCACCCACCCGCGCGCGTCCGCGGCCAGGAGTGGACGTGGTGCCCTTAGGCGGGGAGGGCGCCTGCCGGGCGCGCGGCTCACCGGGGCTCTCCCCACCCCTGCACCCCGGTAGCCGGAGTAACTGAGCAGAGCAGGGCGTGGCCGCAGGACCCAAAGAAAGTGCCCGTTGCTAGAAGGGGACCGCCGTGAAAAACGTTAGCGGTGCAGGTGGCCCGCTAGGCCATCCGACGCTTCACTGCTGGGTCGTGGGCACTGCGGGCACTGGCGAAGGCTGGGGCAAGGGGCACGCGGTTTGCCAAGGTGAGAGCCGAGCTACGGTAGTGAGTCTGGTGGCAGGGCTGGGGGGCGGGGGGACAGGCAGGCCTTAGGGCAGATCTTGGGCCCTGTGGGGGGAGTTGAGGGCTTTGTACTGGGGTGGGGGGGAGCTGTGGAGACTTCTGAGAGAGGAATGGCTGAATTATCTTCTGCTTGATTTTTAAAATAGTCTTTATAGGGGCTGTCTCTGTAGTGCTGGGGTCCTGAGGCCATTCCCGGCAAAACCCAGACCCCTGGGTTCTGAATTTGAAGGCAGAGTCTTCGCAGGCGAGGTATTTGCTCTCCCACTTGACCCTGCTCTATTTTATTTTGGGGGCTGGAGCTATAGCACAGAGGTAGGGCGTTTGCCTTGCATGCAGCCAGCTCGGCTGAGCCGGGTTCGATTCCTCCGCCCCTCTCAGAGAGCCCTGCAAGCTACCAAGAGTATCTTGCCCGCACGGCAAAGCCTGGCAAGCTCCCCGTGACGTATTCGATATGCCAAACACAGTAACAAGTCTCAAAATGGAGACATTACTGGGCCTGCTTGAGCAAATCGATGAACAACGGGAGCACAGTGGCATTATTATTATTTTTTGCTTTTCTGGGTCACACCCGGCGTTGCACAGGGCTTACTCCTGGCTCTGCACTCAGGAGTTACCCCTGGCTCTGCACTCAGGAGTTACTCCTGGTGGTGCTCAGGGGACCATATGGGATGCTGGGAATCGAACCTGGGTCGGCCGCATGCAAGGCAAATGCCCTACCCGCTATGCTATCTCTCCAGCCCCCAACCCTGCTCTATTTTATATTTATGAGCAGGCGTAGGTGACAGGAAGGCCAGCCTTTCCGTCCTCAGATGGAGCAGTGCTGGAGAGCTGTTGGGGGGCGTGGAGAGACGGTGACCCCTCTGCGGGTGTGCGAGGAAAAGCCCCTGACTCTCCTACCCTCCTTTTGGAGGAGGGTTGTGGCCAGACGCTGGCCTGAATGACTGATGCCACCTTCTGTGGCTCCTGTGCTGCCCTTCTTGCCCAGGGCCCTGTGGACACATGTGGACAGCTCAGCTGAAAGCGGTGAGGGCAGGGGTGCAGGACAGCCTTTGTATTCTGCAGTGACCGCCTCCTCTTCGGCTGAAGCAGCAGTCTGAGCACCAGCCAGGCCATGTTCTCCGAGCAGGCTGCCCAGAGGGCCCACACGCTGCTGTCACCACCATCAGCCACCAATGCCACCTTTGCCCGGGTGCCCGTGTCAACATACACCAACTCCTCACAGCCCTTCCGGCTTGGGGAGCGCACCTTTAGCCGGCAGTATGCGCACATCTATGCCACCCGCCTGGTCCAGATGAGGCCCTTCCTGGAGAGCCGGGCGCAGCAACACTGGGGTAAGTGGTCAGTCTGGGAGAGCATGGCCCTTCTCCAGCAGCAGGGCTAGACCCGGCTCTGAGGCATCTGGTCCGTGACTGCCCAGTCCCCTGGAGGAAACGAGCAGCATGTGCCTCAGTTCCCCCTAGCAGTAGCAAGGAGGGTCCAGTTCATCCAAAGCCCGGCAGAGGGGCGGTGAGTTATTACATCATTGGTGCGGGGAACATGTTTTCCAGCCTTCAGCGTGATAGTCTACTGTGCCATGCCGTGGCTACCAGGTCCCTCTGTGTGGCCTACCAGCCGCCCGCCACCAAGAGCCGAGGCTGCTGGGGCCCCATCTCAGCGCCAGGGGGTCAGCCTGTGGTCACTGTTTTCTGCCAGGCCTCCTGTCTCTTGGGCTCTTTGGTCTTTGCTCGTCCTGTGACCTGGGCAACATCCCGTCTTTGGTTCCCCCTTTCTTGGCCACCTGGGCAGGTGGGTGACCCTCGATGCTGATGCAGGCCCCTGCCCACACCCCCTCACCCCGATAATTTGTGACTGATGCTGCTTGACCCGTTCTGGACTCTTTAGAGAACAGGCTCATTCTCTTACTTTTCAATCCCCCTGTCTTTTCATCTGTACGGCTCTATCATATTTCCTTGTGGCAATAAGATAGCACAGCGGGTAGGGCGTTCGCCTTACAAGCGGCCAACATGGCTGACCCGAGTTCGATTCCTCCGCCCCTCTCGGAGAGCCCGGCAAGCTGCCGAGAGTATTGGATATGCCAGACACAGTAACAACAAAGTCTCCAATGGAGATGTTACTGGGCCCGCTCGAGCAAATCGACGATCAACGGGAGGGCCTTTACTATATATATATACACATATATATTTATATATGTTATTTTCCACATCCAGTAAGCCTGAGCCCTGGGTTCATGCTGGACCTCTGGGGACCCTTTGGGAACCCCTCATGCTCAGACCCTCCTTAGCCTGCCAGCTTGAGAAGCTCACTTGATGAGAAGTGATGGGACACAAGGTGGGAATCTCCGCATCATGGTGGAATTAGCGAGGGAGCTTTTCCTTCTTCTTTGGTCAAAACACCTCAGACAAAGTATTGTCCCTCATCTTCTGTCACAAAATGAGGGCTGGCTTCTCCTGGTTCCTTCCTAACTGCCCCTTAAGCCTCTGGGACACGCTCCTCCAGCCTGACATCCGCACCCTCCTCAGCACCAAAGTGGCCTGTGGACTGAAAATGTCCTTTTTCTCTCAGGCTGTGGAGCCAGGAGCTGAGACAACCGCCCACGTGTGGGATGGTGTCTATCCACGCGGCCGTCCCCGCGGCTGGTCCCCGCGGCCTGCCCCCTCACCAGAGCCCCTCCACGCCTGCACTGAGCACACCAGCTCCTTTGCTGGCTGGCTCTCCTTTCCCTGCTCCCCATCTCTCCTCCAGACCTCAGCTCATTGTCCTTCGCTTCCGGGGCCGCCAGCCGCTGCTGTGCTGACCACCCCAGCTCCCGCCTGTTCTAACGCCTGTCCCATGCTGCCACTGTAGATGCTGCTTTCCAACCTTCCCCTGCCTGCAGACCAGCGTCAGGCTGAGGGTCTAGCCAGTGCTTCCCAGAGTGGGGACCCAGCTCCTTTCTGGAACCATCCAGGGGAGCCCCAGTGGCCTTGGGTACAATCGAGGATACTTTTGGTTTGTTTACTTCCGTTTGTTTGGTGTGTGGGCCACACCCTTGCAGTGCACAGGGCATCCTCCTGGCTCTGTGCTCAGGGATCATACCTGGTGGGGCTCAGAGAACCACATGTGGTGCCAGAGACCAAACCGGGGTCAGCTGCGTGCAAGGCCAGCACCCACCCTGCTGTACGATCGCTCTGACCTGACGGGCGCACTGCGTTACTTGTTTTTGGAAAGGAGGCAGGAGGCAGGTAACTCTGGGAGCCTGTGTTCTTGAGGGCCTGGGCCGGCCCTGGGGTGCTCTTTGGTGCTGGGGCTGCCAGTGCCCACACACTGGCCCCCTTGCACACGTCTCACCCCCGTCTTCGGGCACCTTGTTCTCCCTGTACCGCCCACGTACCTGGGTACTAACCCTGTGACCTGGAACACTCCCTTCATCTCTGAGCCTCAGCTTCGTGGGGCTCAGGCAGGGCCGGGCCTCAGTGGGTCTGTGGGATCCATCCTCTCCCGTGTCTGGAATCTCTCTGTCTGGATCTCAGTCCTGCTTTATCTTGTTTTGAATGCCTCCGCCCTGCTCCCCAGGGAACACAGCTCTGGAATGTTCTCGGCTGCTCCCGAGAGGAGGGGTGTGCTCAGCCGGGAGGGGGCCGGGACACAGCCACGCTTCCCGCCATCTCCTGCAGGATTTTTCTCCAGAGTCGCGCTTCTGCTGACAAGTCCCAGACCTTATGGGACTCAGGCTCCATCCTCCTGCCACCCGGACCTTCGGGTCACCCATCCCCTGCACGAGCAGGGAGGCCCGGCTCCTCGGGAGATGAAGTGTGAACCAGGCGTCTCTGTTCTGAGAGAACGAGGCGTGGGGCAGGGCAGCTGGAAGCATCCGGGCGCTTCAGCGATGTGGCATCTTTTGGGCAGTGCTAGGTTGAGACTCACTAGCACTAGCAATCAGGGTAGGACTCAGCTGTGAAAGGCTGCCCTTGGCAAAGAGCTAAGCCCTCCGCAGGGGTGAGGGCTGTTGTTTGTTTGGGGGCAGTGTGCTAAGGGCTCACTTCCGGCAGGGCTTGGGCAACCCTATGTGATGCAAGAGACGTACACAAATTAAACACTAAGTCATCAAGAAAATAATTTAGGGGCTAGGAAGATAGTACAGCTTGCCTGCGGCCAACCCGGGTTGGATTCCCGGCATCCCATATGGTCCCCAAGCTCCGCCAGGAGGTGGTTCCTGAGTGTAGGGTAAGCCTTGAGTATTGCCAGGTGGTGGCCCCAAAACAAAATCCAAACATTTCAAGTTACACAGCTGAAGAGGCTAGGTGACTTAGAGCAGCAATGTATACTCTACTAGTTCTGAAGACCAAATCTCAGGTGTTGACTGGGCTGTGTCCCCTGCAGGGGGACTTTTTGGGGGGCAGGGGGGGCGGGGAGAAGAGCCACGAAAGCACAAACCCAGGCAATGCTTAGCACTAACTCCGGGCTCCGGGCTCAGGGATCATCCTGGTGAAGCTCAGGGGACCATATTGGATGCCAGGAATCAGACCCAGGTTGGCCACTTGCGAGGCCAGCAAACAAGTGCCCCATCCACTGTATTACTGTATTACTCCAGCCCCAGGAGAACACTTTGTGGCCCCTTCCAGCTTCCCGGCAGCCCTGGCCTTCGGGCTGTCTTTCCCGTGACCGAGAGCCGAGAGGAGGCTGGGGAAAGCAAGGCCATAGTCTGGCCGGGAGGCTCCTGGCTGCGGGGAGCAGGCTAGAACTGCTGCAGCTGCTGGGCGGGGTGGGCAGGGGTGGGCCTGAGCACAGGGCCCTGGGCTGCTGGCATGGCCCGGTGTCCATGGGGGCCGTCCCCGCAGGCCCCGGCGTGCTGGTGCGGAAGCTGTGTGAGCTGCAGCCCGGGGAGCGCTGCTGTGTGGTGGGGACACTCTTCAAGGCCATGCAGCTGCAGCCGTCCATCCTGAGGGAGATCAGCGAGGAGGTGAGGACGGGACAAGGGCGTCGGGCTGTGGGACACAGCACGGAGCCCCCGCGACCCAACCACCGGCCCCCCGCACCCTAGCACAACCTGCTCCCGCAACCGCCGCGGAGCAAGTACATCCACCCCGATGACGAGCTGGTCCTGGAGGATGAGCTGCAGCGCATCCGGCTGGACGGCGCCATTGACGTGTCCAAGTTGGTCACAGGTGGCAGTGCGGATCGGGCGGCCTGGGGGGTGGTGCCTTCGGTGGTGGGAGCCCCCCCGGGGAGGGCTGACCCTCTGCTCCCCAGGGACGGTCCTGGCTGTGCTCGGCTCTGTGCGGGATGACGGGAAGTTCCTGGTAGAGGAGCACTGCTTGGCGGAGCTGGCCCCCCAGCAGCCCGCGGCCCCGCCCGACTCCGACCGGTGAGTAGCAGTAGGCTGCTGGCGTGGCCCGGTGTCCACGCGGGGCTGCCCCGCAGGAAGCCAGGGAGACACGGGTCCTCGCTGCCGCCTGCCCTGGGGGGTGGGGGTGCTCAGCGTGACCCCGACTCCTCCCGCAGGTTCGTGCTGCTGGTATCCGGCCTGGGCTTGGGCGGCGGCGGCGGCGAGAGCCTGCTGGGCACACAGCTGCTGGTGGACGTGGTGACGGGGCAACTGGGGAGCGAGGGCGAGCAGAGCAGCGCGGCCTGCGTCTCCCGGGTCATCCTGGCCGGGAACCTGCTGAGCCACAGCACCCAGAGCAGAGACTCCATTAACAAGGTAGGCCCGGGGTGACCCTCACACATGCTCGGACCCAGGCTCCTGGGGCTTCAGACCCCAGAGGCTGAGGGCCTCCTGTGCAGTGCCGTGCTCGGGGCTGACTCCTGGCTCGGCGGGGATCACTCCTGGCGGGGGCTCCAGGAACCAGAGGGGATGCCGGGGGCGGGGGGGCGCTGTCAAAGTCAGACTGGTCTCATGCGAGGCCAGCGCCCTCCCTGCTGTGCTGTCGCTCTGGCCCAAGACTGCGATTCTTTCAGGCCAAGTACCTCACCAAGAAGACACAGGCAGCCAGCGTGGAGGCCGTCAAGATGCTGGACGAGATTCTCCTGCAGCTGAGTGTGAGCCCAGCAGGCTTTGGGGTGGTGAGGCGGGCTCGGGGGGCTGCCGGGCAGGGCCAAGGCCTGAGCCCTCCCCCCGTGCCATGCAGGTCTCGGTGCCCGTGGACGTGATGCCCGGCGAATTTGACCCGACCAACTACACACTCCCCCAGCAGCCGCTGCACCCCTGCATGTTCCCCCTGGCCACCGCCTACTCCACCCTGCAGCTGGTCACCAACCCCTACCAGGCCACTATCGACGGGGTCAGGTGCCGCAGCCACAGCTGAGCCTGGCCTTGGGGGGCTTGTGTGGGGGTCTCTCCCCTAAGGCTGGCCTGGACACCCCCAGGGTGCCGGGGGACTGTGGACTGGCTGCAGTGGGAGGTCAGCTGAGCCTCCACTTTGCAGGTTCTTGGGGACCTCTGGACAGAACGTGAGTGACATTTTCCGCTACAGCAGCATGGAGAACCACCTGGAGATCCTGGAATGGACCCTGAGGGTCCGTCACATCAGCCCCACGGCCCCCGACACCCTGGGTAACAGGACTCGGCCACACGGGGCGGGAGAGAGGAGGACCAGGAAGGCTGGCAGGGCCCTGGAAAGTGCAATGCCAAGCAGACTCGTCTGCCTGGCGGGACCTGAGGGCGTCCCAGACAGGCTCGTTCCAGATTGGCCCTTATTCCATCTGTGGCTGCAGCTCTGCATTGGGGCCGAGGACCTGGGGTGCATGTGAGAGGTGGCCAGGGCAGGCCTGGCCCTGCTCCGGGGCCAAAGGCAGCAAGGCCACCCTGTCTTCCCGGGCCTGTCAGAATAGGCTGGGTGCTGCAGACTGAGGGGAGCTGCCCTGGCGCTGGGTGGGGGCGGGGGCCACGCTCAGCACTGTCTTCCTCTCCAGGCTGTTACCCCTTCTACAAAACTGACCCCTTCGTCTTCCCGGAGTGCCCACACGTCTACTTTTGTGGCAACAGCCCCAGCTTTGGCTCCAAGATCATCCGAGGCAAGTTCTGTCTCCTGGGCTGTCCCACTAGACTGGGGACAGGGCTCACCTGAGAGGAGGTCACCCCCGCACAGCGGGAGTCTGGGCTGAGCCTGTTTAGCGCTGCTCTGGGCATCAGCCCAACCTTCATGGCTGCACTGCGTGTCCAGTGTCCATCCTCAGCCCCAGCCCTGACTGTCCCTCCAACCTCCATCCTCAGCCCTGGCCCCGACTTTCCAGCCTCTATCCTCAGTCCTGTACCTCACTGAGCAGCGTCCATCCTTAACCCTGCCCCCCACTGTCCAGCCTCCATCCTCAGTTCTGTCCCTGCCGTTCTGGTGCCAGTCGCCCCTGGGCTGCCCTTGAAGCCACGGCTCAGGTGACCTAAGGGGTCCCATGTGTGTGTTCTCTGCAGGCCCTGAGGACCAGAAGGTGTTGCTAGTGGCCGTCCCAGACTTCAGTGCCACGCAGACGGCTTGCCTGGTGAACCTGCGCACCCTGGCCTGCCAGGCCATCAGCTTCTCTGGCTTTGGGGCAGAGGAGGACCTGGGAGCCCTGGGGCTGGGCCCCTGAGTCCGGAGCTGCACCCAGTCCCTTCCCCGCACCCTTGGGAGCCTTTCCTTTGTAAATAAAAGTGTCAGACCCACTGTTGCCTGCGGTCCTCTCGGGGCTGGGGGGAGGCACTGAGCCATACGGGGCCTGGAGCCGGATTTATTGGAGCCGCCTGGGCAGGAGAGAGGGGCCCGCCCTAGTGCGTGGCAGCCCTGCCACTGGCCGACTGGCCCACGGCGCCGTGTGCTGAGCTCAGAAGTCGCCAAAGTTCACCGTGTAGGTCTCCACGGTGGTGTAGGGGAACTCTGCGCCCGTGACCTCCTCCTCCTCCTCCGGCTCCTCGGGCGGCCCCAGCTCAGTCCCAAACTCCGTCACCACTTCCGTGTAGGTCTCGGTCTCCTCCTCCCAGTCGGCTGTGCCCCCCGGGGCCAGGGGCCAGGGGCTCAGGGTGGGTGCTTGCGCGGGCGTGGGCACGGGGGGCGCCGTGGGGGCCGCGGGCGGTGCCGTGGGGGGCGCGGGGGACGGCGTGGCCGTGGCGTTGAGCCGGCGCAGCCGCTGCTGCTCGCGCATGCGCAGCCGGTACTGCAGGCGCCGCTGCTGCAGGCGCCGCTGCTGGGGGCTCATGGGGCGCGAGGGGTCCACACGCAGGATGGGCCGGTTCCCGTTCATGGCCAGGATCTCCCGGATGCGCTTCCAGTTGGAGCGGGCCAGGACGAAGTTGCACTGGGTGGCGCCGATGTCGTAGTCCACGTTGCAGGTCTTGGCGCTGGGGGTGTAGCCCTCGGCCTGCGCCGTCACGCGGTACTCGCCGGGGTTCAGGAGCCGCCAGTAGTCGCCGCCGCCCGCTGCGGGGACGGACGAGGACGGCCGGCCTCGGTGAGGGCCCGGGACCCCGGGCCAGCCTCAGCCCCAGGCCTGCCCGCGACCTGCCTGCCACCCCAGGCCCTCGCCCCAGCTACCTGTCTTCACGCCGTGGTTGATGCCACTCACAGAGATGGTGGCATTGGCGATGGGGACACCCTGCTCGTCCGTCACCACCCCCTTGATGCCACGATGAACCTGCAAGAGGGGCAGGGGTGGCTGGAGTCTCCCTCTGCTGTTCCCCTGTCCCTGGGTGCCGGGGGTGGGGCGGGGGTCAGGCCCCACCTGCTCCATGAAGGTGAGCAGCGCCTCCTTGTTGTTCTCCCACTCCCGGGGCAGCTCGGACTCGTGCGGGAACTTGTCACAGCCCAGGAAGATGGACAGCTCCAGGCAGTTGGTGTGCAGGTAGCTGAAGTCGTTGATCGCTGGCAGGGGCGGGCACGGCGCGGTCACCCAGGCCCACGGCAGCACCACCCGCCCGCCCGGTGGCTGCTGCCCCCCGTCCTCCCTGCCACTCACTGCCAGACCGCGGGTTCCACTTGGCCCCGTTGACGATGCCCAGGCTGCTGGTGTAGTCCTGGGCCTGGCACCCCCCGCGGTAGGGCTCTGTCATGGTGAGGTGGGCCGACGCGAAGGCGATGGCCAGCCAGCGGAAGATGGCATGGTCCGGGGTCTCCTGAGCCTCGGACACCTCCTCCTCCTCGCCCCGGGCAGCAGCCATGGCAGCCGCCAGCAGCTGCTCCTGGCTGGGCGTGCGGGCCATGTCGTAGGGGTAGGACACCAGCCGCTCACCTCCGTTCAGGTTCGCCCCCAGCACAAAGGGGATCTTCTCCATCCAGGAGATGATGGCCCGGACCTCCGTGGACACCTAGGGGCGGGGCGGGTGCAAGGCAGTGCCCAGGCTTCCAGCACCTTCCGTGCGCGCCTGTCCCTTCACCCCACCCGGGCACGGGCACACCCACCCACCACCCACCCGAGCTGCGCCCAGGCTCACCGTGGCATCGGGGGCAAGGTAGCGTTCAGGGATGGGCAGGTTATTGTTGGGGACCCGGTAGGGGACCCACTTCCTCTCCTCGGCTCCCCAGAGCACCGAGTTGAGATCCGGAAAGTCCTCGTAGATGTCGAAGCCTTCCTCGGTCCATAGCCCCAGCGCCCAGTTCCCGAACTCCGAGCCCTGGGGAGGCACCGGCTCAGCCCTGAAGCGCCCCCAGTGCCGGCCGGCCACCCCGTCCCTGCAGGGCAGGCGCCCCGCGCGCATGCGCACACCCACCGTCTGCGCAGCCACCTCGTAGCCGTCGGGGTTGAGCGAGGGCACCAGGTGGATGCGCGTGTCGTGCACCAGGCTGCGCACACGGGGGTTGTCGGCGCGGTACTCGCGGCACAAGTACTGCATCAGCAGCAGCAGCAGCTCGCGGCCCAGCACCTCGTTGCCGTGGATCCCCGCCGTGTAGCGGAACTCGGGCTCGCCTGCAAGGCCAGGGGCTCAGCCGCGCCCGCCCTGGGCTCCTCGCAGCCCCGGGGCCCGCGGCGGGAAGTGGGGGCGCGCACCCAGCTCGTGTTCCCCGGGGTGGTCGGAGATCTCCATGGCGTAGATCTTGAGCCCCCGCGAGCTCTTGCCCAGGCTGTAGGTGCGGGTGATGGTGGGGCAGTCCTCGTTCACGGCCTTCATCAGCTGCCCGGGAGAGGCCGTGAGCAGGGCTGGCTGGGGGTGGGTAGGGTCCGGCTCCCCGACCCACCCCGGAGAGTCACCTGTCGCATGTCCTTGTAGCTGTGGTGGCGGAAGTCCAGGTCGTCTGTGCTCACGGCCTCGTTCTGGGCGTAGTAGCTGTGAACGGCTGCAGAGACAGACAGGGGCGCCTGAGCCAGCCGAACACCCCCCCACATCCCCCCCATCCCAACCGCCCCACACTCACGAGTCAATGGACACCCCAGCACCTCCAGCCGCAGGCAGAGGCTGCCGTTCCACGTGAGTGGGTAGACGCGGATGAAGCGAGCCACCACGGGCTCGGGAAGCTCACTCAGCACCGGCGTGTCCTTGTCCACGTTCCCGTGGAAGGTCTGCGGAGAGGCGGGCCTCAGTCCCGCTCCTCACGCAGGCCGAGTGCCCACAGGGGCGGGGGGCGAGTGTGGCACCCACCATTTCCTCATAGCCGTTCGTGTACATCACCCACGTCTGGCTGTCGTTGCTGAAGCCCACGAAGAAGGAGGTCACGAAGTCGTCACTGGGGAGGACATGGGTCAGGCCAATGTCCCCTCCCCAAGCCACAGGGGAGGGAGGCGCTGGGGGCAATGACAGCAGGGTGGAGCCCACTCACTGCACTCGGGAGTCGCGGCCCTGCGTGATGACCCCTGTGAAGAGGGTGGTCCTCCTGGTGTCCACCTCTATCCACTGGGTCCGCGCGTCGTCCTCGGCGCACCACGCCCCGTCATAGTAATCATCCTCGTTGGCGCCCGCCTGTCAGGCAGCAGGGCTGAGCAGGGGCCCTAGCGTGTGGGGCAGCCCCTGCCCCCTGACACCTACCTGCATGTTGAGCCGGCCGCGCTGGGCACCCAGGCCATGGCGTAGCATGGACGAGGCCCGGATCTGGTTGTCCTCAATGCGGTGTGACTCCATCCCGATAGGGGGACACTCTGTGGACACGGGGCCCGGGTGGGTGGGCGCTGGGCTGGTTCCTCCTCCCACCCCTCCCGTCTGCCCTGGGGCTCCCCGCCCCCAGTCCCGGAACCCAGGAGTTGAGGGTTCTGTGCACCAGGTTGGGGGACCAGTCGGATCCCGAAATCCAGGCGTGGGGTGAGCTGGGTGTCCTACTGCATGCCCCCCTTTTTCATCCCCACCTCCCTGCACCCCACAGCACCAACCCAACCCTGGGCTCCACCCTCTGGTCCCTGCGACCCCCCGCCTCCGCCATACATGGCCCCCCTTTCCTCCGGGTCCCTCACTCACTGACTTTCTTCCTGGGGGCCCACTCCTCCTCCAACTCCTCCCCTTTGCGTGGCCCTGGGAGCAAGAAAGGCAGGAAGTGGCTGGGAAGCCCTCCCCCACCCCCAGCTCTGTGCACCAGCCTACCACCCCCCCCCCCAGCACCCGCACCCACCTTTATGATCCTTGCCCTTGCCCCCTGTCCACCTGCCATCCTTCTCCTCCTTGCTGCCCTCCTTTTTGGGTTTCTCTGCAGGATGCAAGAGAGGGACCCGTCAGGTTAGCTCAGGACTTGGGGGACAGAAGTAGGGCCACGTGGGAACGGGGTCTCAGCTGGGGAGAGCGCTGCACTCACTCAGCTCCTCCTTCTCCTCATCCGTCTCCACAGCAGGCCCGGGCTCCTGGGGCCGGGGCAGCCTGAAGTAATAGTCCACTGCGGGGGAGGCATGGCTGAGGGGCTGTGGCACCGGGCTCCCAGGGCCACAGGAAAGCGGCGGGATTGGGGTAGTCTTTGAAAGTTGTCGTTTGCTTCTGGGTCATGCCCGGAGATGCTCAAGGGCCACTCCTGGCTCTGCACTCAGGAATTACTTGGAGTGGTGCTAGGGGGACCATATGGGATCCCGCGGAACAAACCCAGGCCTGCCCACACCCAAAGCCAGCGCCTTCCCCACTGCACTGTCACTCTGGAGTCGTTGGTGAGGAATCCAGACTCCTGGTGGGCCCAGAGGAGGACAGAGAGTCCATGGGTGGAGGGGGCAGGAGACAGGCTGAACTGGGCATGTGGCAGGGCACAGGGCGGGCCCGGCGACAACTGACCCTTGTGCCAGAGGGGGGTTACAAACTCAGGCGGCTGAGCAGGATGGGGTGGGAGGACCAGCCTGTGTGGAGCGGCAGGAGGCGGGGGGGTGGGGGGGGTGGCAGGGGCGTGGGCACTGCTCCCGCGCTGGCCTGGCCACTCACTGTGGTCATAGTCAGGGATCACGTAGCCGTCACCATAGTCAGGGAGCTGTGAGGGCAGTGCTGGCCTCGGAGGCGGCTCTGTGGAGTGGACACAGAGTGGGCCAGTGCCCTCCACTAGGGCCCCCACCTGTCGACCCTGGTCCTACCAGTGCTCTCCTCAGGGGCCTCAATCCCCAGCCCAGGCTGCTTGGCTCTGTCCTCCGCATGCTCAGGCCGGGGCCGCCTCCTGCTGGGGGGTGGTCGGGGCTGCTTCTGGCGCCGGATGTACTCAACTGAAGGGAGGGGGATGGGGGCTGGTTGGGCCGAGCCCCCTCCCAAAGGGGGACAAGCAGGCGGGGGTGGGGGGTCAACTCACAGTCCTCGTAATCCTCCCTCTCTATCTGGTCATTGTAGTCCATTGTGGGCAGCTCCGTCTCCTCGTCTGGCTCTGCAGGGAAGCATTCAGGGTCACCTCGCTGGAGACCCAGGCTGATGCCCCGCCCAGGCCCACCCTGGAAAGCAGCAAGCCAGGCTGGTCCCCAAAGCCTGCCCACTCACCAGGCTGCCCACTCACCAGGCTGGCCATCCATGCTGGCCTCTCTCCCTGGACCACGCGGGGGGCTCGGGTGGGCCCCACCTACAACAGGAAACCAAGAAGGTGGCCCAGCGCTCACCTGGGCCCAGGTTCCAGTGCCCGGCGGCCCCGGCTCCGTCCCCAGGATGGCTCCTCCCAGGTTGGGAGCAGACAGCCTTCTGGGGATCCCTGTGCCGCAGGGCAGCTGGGTGAATCCCAGGACAGGGAGAGAGAAACCCATCAGAGCAGTGCCCACAGCAGGGCTCGGTGACCAGGAGGCCCCCAGGGCCCCTCGGCAGGACAGGAAGCAGAGTCACGTCCCCCTCCTTCCCAGCTCCTCCAAGGAGCCTCGCCTACCTCCCGCCTGTGCAGTCTCCTCTGGACCAGCAGTAGAGGGTGGGGGCAGAGGCCAGAGGGGGGCTTCTGAGGGGCTCAGGGCAGGGGGTCTCCTCCCGGGCCCGGGCTTCTTGGTGGCCCTTGGTGGCTTCTCTTTCGGCTTCTTGGTGGCCTTCGGCGGCTTCTCTTTCGGCTTCTTGGTGGCCTTCGGCGGCTTCTCTTTCGGCTTCTTGGTGGCCTTTGGCGGCTTCTCTTTCGGCTTCTTGGCAGTCTTTGGCGGCTTCTCCTTGGTCTTAGGCAGACTGGGGATGTCCTCGGGAGTCTGCTTGGTGGTCTTGGCACCTTTATCCTTCTTCCCCTGCTTTCCTTTGTCTTTGGACTTCTCCGGAAGCCCTGTCCCAAAGGCAAATTGGAGTCAGCTGGTGAAGAAGCCCACCAGGCCCCAGGTGGCACCCAAGGCGCCCGGAGCCTGGCTCAGGGGGTCTGTTAGCCCCACATTTTCCAGTGGGGAGGCCGAGAGGCTGTCCTGGGTAATCTTTTCCTTCTCTGCACACCCACCTCAGTCTGGGGCTCAGTCCTCAGCCGCCCACCTACCAAAGCCCCACAGGAGTCCTTGAAGGGCGTCCTGCACCCTAAGCCTGGGTCTCTCCTGCCTACTCTGAACTGGGCACAGACAAGCGAGGGATGGCATCCAGCCTGGGGCCTCAGCCCTGCCAGCTGCCAAAGAAAAGGTGAGGAAAGGCCCCAGTCCTCCCAAAGCCGCCTCAGTGGGGCAGAGAAGCGTCAGAGCATGGGGTGGGGTCCTCGGGCGTCTCTCACCCAGAGTGGGCCAGAGACAGAACCCCACAGGGGACAGACAGGAGTCACATTCTTGGGATCTGGTGGGATCTGGGCAGGCAGAGGGGGGGGGGGGAGCTGTCCTGGGGCAGGCACAATGAGAGGGGTCCAGAGAAGGGTGTCGGAGCTCAGGGGTGATGAGCTGGGGTGGGTGCCGGCAGAGAGGGAGGGCTTGGCGCTGCATCCCTCCCCGGTGCGGGTGATGTGGGCACTGCCCACCGCCCTGGGCAAGCCCCTCACCTCTTCTGCTGCTGGAGTAGGACCCGGGCAGGAAGGCAAGGCGAGTGTGGGGCCCCAGCAAGAGGTGGAGAGCCCCGTGCCCACCGCCCGTGCGGGCTCCCTCCCCTTCCCGGGAGGGGCAGCAGACGCCCCCCTTCCCTGGCTTCTCGTCCAGTCCCTCTGGGCGCTGGGGACAGGAGCTGGCCCCCGCCCCCCGGGTCAGTGGGTCTCACCCTCCCCGGCACGTGGCTTGCCGGCCGCGGGCGCTCTGAGGCTTGGCTGCGCGGGTTCGGGGAGCGGCGGGGCCTCCACGTCGCCGTCCTCCTCCGGCCGCTCGGGTCCCCGCTCGGACAGGAAGCCCTCGAGGAACTCCTCGATCTCGTCGTCGGTCAGCACGCTCTGCGGGCGCCCCCCGGGGCACAGCGCCAGCAGCGCCAGGAGGCCGCCGAGCAGGGACGCCCCGCGCGCTGCCCCCATGGCCCGGGCGCGCGGGAGCGCGGGAGCGCGGGGCGCGGCGGGTGGCGGGATGTGGAGGAAGAGCGCAGAGGTGCAGGGGCGCGGGGTGCAGGGGCGCGGGGCGCGGAGGAGGGGTGCGGGAGTGCAGGGGTGGGGGGCCGGAGGGGATGTGGGCAAGGCGGGCAGGAGCTGGGGGACTGCGGGCTCCGCGGTGGGGGCGCGGGGGTCGCGGTTCTGGGCACCGCAGCAGCAGGGACGGGGCTCGCGTGCGCGCCGCCTTCTCCGAGCAGCCCGCCGGGCGGGGGCGCCGGGGCTTCCGGAGCCGCCCCCCACCGGGAAGGAGGAGCTGGAGGGGCGTGGACAGAGGGGCTGGGGGGCGGATGGGGGGGTGCCCGCCGGGCGCCACGCGCTGCCGAACCGCGCCCAGGAAGGAGAAGCGGGGCTGGGGGTGCCCAGGGGCTGCGCGGGGGGCGGGGTTCCCGAGGGTCCAACCAGGGGAGCCACCGCTCAGCCCTGCAGGCCCCTCAGGGCCCCTCAGGCTCCATCCCCTTCCCAGAGATGGGCTGTAGACTCCCAGAGCACTTTCCCGTCACACGGGGGCCCTTGCGTTCCCCCACCCCCAGAAGGTCCTTTAAGCTGGGATGCATCTTTGTGCTCGGGGCCCAGGGCACTGCCTGCACCCCCGTTTCGACAGCACCATTTCATCCCAAGGAATGAGGCACCACTGCCTGAGGTCCGGACCCCTCCCTCCCTCTCCATCAAGGAGCATGCCCTCTCCCACCGCGTACGACCCCCCCTCGCCCCCCCCCATGGACCAGGAGGTGATTCTCCCTTCCTCTTACTGTTTGCTTTCTTCTTCCTAGCATTATTATTTTTTAGCTTTGGGGGGCCACACCTGGTGCTTAGGGCTTACTCCTGCCTCTGTGTTCAGGGATCACTCCTAGCTGGCTTGGGGGACCCTCTGTGATGGCAGGGTTGAACCTGGTTCAGCCACCATCCAGACAAGTGCTTGACCCACTGCACTACCTCTCTGGCCCTCAGAACTCAGAATAGGTGTTTGCAGCCACGCTGGCTACTCCACGGGCCACAGTGGTACACAGGCCGGGCATCAGAGAACCCAGAGTCGAGCCGTCTGTCCCGGTGCAGGGGCAGGACTGACCAGTGATGCCAGTCTGGGATGAAGCACAGGAAGTGGCAACACCAAGGGGCACTGCACAGAGGCCACACCCAGTACAAGGAGGCAAAGTGGCACACATCTGGCGCACCCAGATGGATCCCCCCGAGTCGGGTCAGATGTGGACGCCTTGTGCCCAGAAGGTGCCAGTGGGAGAAACCAGGGGCCTCTGGGATGACCCACAGTGCTCAAATCTCAGGTTTCAAGAAAAGAGGGACCGGGAGCCCCAAGAAGGCAGGGAACACTGGGGGGACTGCCACCGACCCCAGAGAGGCTTGTTCTCTCTGCCTTCATCCTTTCAAGGTGCTTCCTCCTGCCTGGCCCGCTAACACCTATTTGCAGTTAAAGGGCTGGTGTGGTCCGACCCCAGGCAGCTACAGTGGCAGGCAGGACACTGTCCATGTGAGCCAGCACCCTTTCAGCTCTCACGATTGGCCGGCTTCTGGCTTTTCAGATCCCAACTGCACCCCTTCCCCCTAAATCAGCTCTGCCCTCCCCCTTCGCTGCTGGCCCAGGCCCCTGTGGGAGTGAGGCAAGCTCTTGCCGGAAATGTCCCCTGTGGGCCTATGAGTCATCCTTCTTGAAACCTTGTCTTGGAACTTGCACTGCGGCCCTGAGTCGGACGTGTCCATCAGGGAGGCCCAAGACGGCAGGGTAGGGGGGGCGGGGGGGTGGGGAGGAGGTTGGGAGACGTCACTTCCCGGGGAGCCGCTTCCAAGATCAGCCGGCGCACACGTGGACTGGACTGGGGCCCGCACCCCTGCCAGGGAAAACAGAGGCTCACAAAACTAAAACGGGAGAGTAAGAACCTTTCTTCAGCCACACAGGGCCAGTGCCCCCGGGGCGGTGTAGGGTACTGGGTGCGGGGCCCTCGGCCCTCCTGGGGTGCTGGCCCCCTACCTTAGGACCCACACCCAGGGCTCGGGCAGTCTGATCCATGGCGAGCACTCACAGGGGCTAGCTGGGGGGGGGGGGGATCCTGAGACACGGGGCCTGTCCTCTCTCCCAGGAGGGTGCTAAGGGGCCAAGGGCAGGGTGCCCATCTTGTCTCCAGAGCCTGGGAGCTGAGAGGAGAGTGATGAGGGACAGGCTGAGGCCCTGCCAGGTCGGTCCTATTTGCTCCTGAGCCACAGCACAGACACGTCAGGTCCTTCTAGAAAGAACAGTGCTGGAGGGAGAGGCCAGGAGGGGCTGCCCCACCTGTGCTCCAGAGATCAGCAGAGGAGCAGTGCAGAGGTCCAGGAGGCTGCCTGGAGGAGGAGGCATGCTCAGGGCAAGCTGCCACAGAGCAACCCACATTCTGTTTTCAGCAATGTTGCCCCTAGTCCCAGGGGGTGGAGTGACGGGTGGGAGGACAAGGAGGACCCCAGCCTCGCTCCTCAGGAAGAGGCTTCAGGGGAAGAGCAATTGGGAAGGGATATGTTGATTAGCTGAGCACTGTGGCAAAATTTGCACCCTCAGAGGTGCTGGGAGCGGCCATGTTGGGCCGGGCGGCCAGAGGGGTCCCTGCTCCCAGGCCAGCACCACTGCCTGAGGTCAGGACCCCTCCCTCCCTCTCCATAAAGGAGCATGCCCTCTCCCACCATACAGGGCCCCCGACATGGACCAGGAGCTGATTCTCTCTTCCTCTCACTGTTTGCTTTCTTCTTTCTATCATTGTTATTTTTTAGCTTTGGGGACCACACAAGTAAGCTTAGGGCTTACTCCTGGCTCTGTGCTCAGGGTGCTCTGCCCAGGATTCCTGGGGTCCCCCTGCACTGGCTGGGGAGGGGGGAAGCTTGAGGCGACACCTACAGGCTCTCGGTGATGCTCAGTTCGCCTGGCCAGTGGCCCTCTCCAGTGTGGACCATCAGGGATCAGAAAGCGCTGGCCTGAACTAGGAAGTGGTGAGGTCAATACCCCCGCTGCCGGCTCTGGCCGTCTGGCCCCCGAGCCCCAGGCCCCATCTTAGGGCTCCGAGGGGAGAGAAGGAGGGAGACACTAAGCGTCCCTCTCCACTCTGGGGGAGACGTCCTCAGGAAGGACTGTCCCCGACCCGCCTGGGCCACACACCAGACCTCTGAGGTGGTGATTCATTCTGATGCTGCCCAGGAGTGCTCGTCCCAGACACCCCGAGCCTTCCCGCCAGGGCCTGCTGGCCACTTCCGCCAGAAACGGCCTCGCCGCGGGTTGCTGCAGCTGGACAGTTCTTGGGTTTGTCCCCTGCATCCCCTGTCCCAGCCCCTATCCACGCCCTCAGCCCCACTGCCTCTGGTGCCCAGGCAGGAAGCTGAGCAGGCCTGTGTGTGTGTCCATGGTCCTTGGTTCACGGGGAAGGTCCTTACAAAGCTTCCAACAACGGTCCGGCCCGAGAGCGTGCAATCTGGACACGGCCTTCCTCTGCATGTCCAGCCCAGACCCCTCCCTCGGTCACCTGGGTCCTGGGTCCTGGAGCACAGGTGTGGGGGGGGGGGCAAGCTGTGCGTGAGGACCAACTGTGTCCATTTACAAGTGAGGACCGTCTCAGTCTCCCTCCAGAGGAAGAGAACGCTCAGGACACGAGGCGTCAGGGCCACCGCACGTTGGCAACAGGGAAGGTTCCAGGTGGCGACTCTGACGTCAGGCTTGATGATCTTAGTTTTGATCGGTAGCCACCGACCTCACAGCCCAGGGAACCCTGCCAACAGGGCCAGTTCTGAAGCCCAGCTCGGGACGGCAAGCAGGGACGCAGGGGCAGTACCCGAGGTGCCCAGGCCCCCCGACAGTGACCGGACGGGAGCAAGGTGAAGCTGAGGTGCACAGAGGCCTTGGGGGTGGGGGCTGGGGGCTAACGGAAGCCCCTCCTGCCTCCTGGGATCAGGGCAAGGGATCCCACACCTCCTCCCTTTGACTCTGGCACTCCCGGGGCCCCTGGAATGTCCCGTGTCTGTTGCACGTTGGGCCAGGCCTCAGGCCCAGGGGAGTGGCATTCCCAGAGCCTGGGCCTCGGCGCTCCAGACAGTGTCTAGCCATCCACACAACCGGCTAACAACCTTCGCGGTTCCTGAACAACTCAAAAACCACATGTGCTTTCTGCGGGCTCGTGGCCACCCCACCCTCCTCCGCTCCCAGGCCCGGGCTGCTGAGCGAGCAGAGAGCTCCCCCAAATTCCTTCCACTCTCCGCAGGCCAGGCCCAGGAGCCTGGGGGGTCACCGCCACCACAGAGGGCTGGCAGTCTGAGGGGTGGGAGGCCAGCTGCCAGCCTCATGAGTCATTCTGCAGCCCCAGCTCGTGGCAAGCTCGTGTGACAGCCAGCTGGGCAGCAAACCTGAGGGAAAGGGGGGCTCAGTCCGTTCAAAATAGGGCTGAGTGGGGGGAAAGGGGTCTTCAGCACCACCTCACCCCTGCAGACGCATTAACTCCCCTTGGCTAGAGCGGCCGGAGTCGTGGTACAGCAGGGAGGGCATCTGCCTTTCATGCGTGCTTGATCCTGCATCCCATATGATTCCCTGAGCACTGCCAGGAGTGATTTTTGAGTGCAAAACCAGGAGTAACTCCTGAGCACTGCTGGGTGTGGCCCAAAAATAGATGGAAAAAGATCAGTGAGCCAACTCTTCAAAGAGAAAGCAAAGAGTCTGTGCTTGTTTCCTTTGCAGGGGGTCTAAAGAGAAACCAGAGAAGGAATGATGGAGGCCTTAGATGGGATCCGGCTGTCATTCCCTATTCAAGATAACACTGGCAGGGGCTGGAGCGGTAGCACAGCAGGGCGGGCATTTGCCTTGCATGCAGTCGACCGGAATTCGATCCCCAGCACCCCATAGGGTCCCCTGAGTACTGCCAGGAGTGATTCCTGAGTGCAGAGCCAGGAGTCAGCCTGAGCATGGCCAGGTGTGGCCCCCAAACAAGCAAATGTTCTGGTAGGTGTGTGAGCTGATCATCAGAACTATCTGATCTGCTGGGAGTGGCCC